TCAATAATCTTTTATGCTTCATATTCTCGAATCATCATTGATGACGGCTCCTCCGGTGAAACTTTCATTATTTTTTCCGATGATTATTCTTAAACGATACGTATTTTGCAAATCACCCAATTATGCAATAGAGCCTTAAAAACTTTTGTGTCGAAAATGTAAATATGGAATTAAAGTTAGTCCCGAGTCTCATAAAAAAGATCTCATCCTTGGAGTAATTACTGCCTTCATCTTGTCAACTTAAGCAAACATTTAAATAAGTTTAACAATTTTCAAAATTGGCACCACTGACATGTCAAACAAGAGAACTAAACAAGAGTACATAAAGATTCATTCATAGTTTTTAATTGCATGCCAACAGCCGAGAATGCCAAAAAAGATAACTTAAAGGGGTTTGATATCAAAACGAAATGAAAGCAAAGAATTGTTTTAAATTATGAGTACACCTTCATCTAAACAACTCACGCATGCACTAATAGCAGCAGCAAAAAGCAGACACAGTAAGTCACAAAATTGTACGCTTACATTTAGAAATCTTACTGATATGGCATTACCAACTGTTACAAGTGCAAGGCAAGTACACAGTTCATGCATTGAAAGGTGTGGGTAAAAGAAACTGAGGTGTTCAGAAGCTCAGAGGTATCGAGGCCTTTGTTTTTCTATATTGCAATGGATTCTTTCAAACTTCAAAGCTTGGAAATTCCATTGATTGGTAATTTGTCGTCTACGCCCCTTTCCAACCATTCCCATTTAAAGGCCCACCTATATGTATCAAAGCAGGAGATTAGAGCCATCGTCTGCTAATAAATATTATTTTGATTTATGTTTTCCTCTTCACGGGGAATTCCATGTTTACTCAGATGCGGTTCTCGAATTAGCCAGCGGCTCCAATAAGAATTCGTATTCAGATCGATTAATCGGAGGAGAGAATTCAAAGAGTTAAAGCACAGATGCCACATAATTATAAGAACATGGGAGGATCGACGAGCAATTAACTGAGTGAGTGTAACCTCAAATTCGAACATTTTTCCTACACATACCAATGCAAACAATGCAAAGCCATCCCACTTTCAAAGTTGCACAATAAAAGTTTTAATTTATGCGACACTCTCGGCCACTCGACACAGTAGCTGCTTTGCTTTCAAACTGTCCAAAAACAATGCGCCAGCGACGATATTGCCATTGTTGATGCCTTTGGTTGATGTTGCTGACAAAGTTTCATTTGTTTTTACTTATACCGTTATAATGCGTCGCTTCTTTGTTGTTTGACTTTTGCACAAATTATTTGTTTATTTTCCTTTTGTGGCTTGGCTTGGCTTGGCTCTCGCAAGAACCGGCGCCATTACTTCACTGCACAGATTTTTTTTAAATAGCAATCGCACCACCACCAGAGTTGCATTTCGCAAAGTCGGAGCACCTCGCAGTTAGTTGTTGGCAGCAACGATGTGGATTGTGGCTGCTTCAGGGGGTTAACGTTATTGCAATTGCACGGTGAGTGAGCCAAGGCACAGCGTTGCCAATTCTACAAAACAGCGAATTCTGTTCACTAACACAAACGCAAGTGCAGGCACGTGTTTGCCAAATGTTTGCATGTAGATGGCGAATATGCGCACATACATTGTCAATGAAGAGTTGCCGCATACCACTTGTAGTGTGCAACCTGAGGCGACATTTAAATTCGTTGCAGGCTCATGTGGTTATTGCTTTTGTTGCTGACTATATATTGCCATTGTCGCTTTCACTTGCAACACATTCAAGCATATTGTGGCAGCGATGATACTCTACAATACACCTGAGTACATGCGGACTGCAGAAGGGCGCTTGCATTGCTGTTGCACTAACCTAGTAGTGTGTGGCGTGCCGCATGGTGCAAAGCAAATTTATGTGCCGACGCAGAAGCTGTGCAACAATGCCAAACCCCGAATCGACGGAGAAAAACAAATTTGGTTGAGGTAAAATTTAGGTGATTGCCGAATGTGTGCATGCGTGTGTGTGTGTGTCTAAATTATTGAAGTGGTTAACGGAGATGTCTGTGCGCGGCGTTTGAATTAGTTCACACAACTGCGTGTGACCAAGCAGCCGAGCGGAGCCGCTCGAACGTGCCACTGATTTGACCGCAATACATTACAAGCATATGTACACATACATATATTCCCTGTATGCAAGTGTGTGTTTGTACGCATGAATATGTAGGCCAGCCATTGCCACCCAAGTAACCCTTGCCACTGCTGTGCGATTTGTATTGTAAGGCCGCGGCCAGGTAATGCGTAACGACGAGAGATTGCGACTCCGCCATATGTGTGTGTGAATAGATGGCTGCTGTCGCTGGAATCAGAAGAAATTATAATATTATGACCGAGCGATAAAGTGTGATTGTAATGAATAAGCGCCGCAAAGCAGCAAAAACGATGGCATTTTACACAACAACCATCACGCCAACAACATCGGTAATGGTTGCGCCCATTGTGCCCCAGTTCGACCGCAATGACCCATCAGCCTGACCGCCAACCCATTAACGCCAAGTTTGTTACACCTATGGCCACAAGCAACGCCTCTCGAGTGCGTCATGCTGATAAATTGGCGGTCGAATGTTCCGATTATTAGTGGTGCTACCGCTACACTGGGTCATACTTGTTTCTAATTATTAAGCCTCCGTGAATTTTGGTTTCCTTAGCGTTTGTTTAAAACGCATGTCTCGCGCTATAATTCACCGACTGTGGAAAAGCTTTTCAGTTAGGTCAAGGTTGCCATAAAAATCAACTAATTTCAACCAACAACAAACAAATTAATCATTTGAGTTCTCTTTTTTTATTAAAAGAAACAGATTTGTAAAAATTAATGCAAATAATCTCTCCATTTGTTATTGGTGTTTTTATCTTAGTGACACCTCTTTTGGACATTACTACTATACTATTGTATATTCCTCAGCATCCAAATGGCTTTTGCTTTGCTCTATACAGCATCTAGTAGTACCAGATGCAGACCTCGCATAGACAGATCGACTTATATCTAGGAAAGTATTAAGAATACTGAGAGTTTGAGTTATTGGATTTAGGGCTAGATAGATAGCTTAAGTTCAAATTTTCAAGTCGGAACGAATCATAGAGTAATGTTTCAAATACGATGGATCTCTGTCATTTGCGGTAGACAACATTAAGGCTTATATATTGCTTATGTTAGTCATGGCTTAATTCCGCACGCTCTGCGTTTATGTATGTGACTTCCATAACTTCCCTGTAGCTTAATGGACTAGTTTTAAGTACTTGACAACCAGATAGAGTAAGAAAAACGTCAGACAGGTCAGCGGAGCTAGTCGCACTAAAGTAATCCAACCCAGGATTCCAGTTTCGTTTAATAAGGAATATCAAATAATAATGAATACTCGGTGATAAGTTACTAAATATAATTAAATTTGAAATATGGATTTCGAAATAATCATCTTGAATTAGAAACTGATACTCAGAACTAAATGAAACCTAGATCTATAATAGCAACCTTCGTCGGCGCAATCAAATAGCTCACTAATAAATTGACGTGAATTGAGACAAAGGTGATCTTCTTCTGACTGGTTCGGTTTCAGCTAGAGATTTCTCGCTTGGCTTCGGAGCTAGATGCAAATATGTGGGCGCACACCTAGACACACATTCACCGTAGTATGTGCCCAACAATGTGTGTAGGTGCTTGGAATTTTGTCATATCATCAGTTTTCCATCAGGAGCATTAGCAAACGGTATGCATTATAAATTGCATACCAACACATTTGCACGTATCCTTTATATTGCGACTCATTATATTGCTTTGTTTCTCTTGTTCTTGCTGTTGCTGCTGCCTTTCTGTCATTGCCTTGTCTCTGATGTTGTATTATATTGTCGGATGATTCTTTGAAATGTTCCATAATTTCAATAGACTCAACTGTTGATACTCCTCCTCTCTTCTTTTCTTCGCTCGTTCACTTGCACACAACCAACTAAGTGACTCGGCTATTGTTCGAGTTCGAGCTGCTCGCTTCTTTCTTTGCCATTCTGTTTGTCTATTGTGAGCATAATTTCCACATTTACCTGTTACTGCCGTGACATCCATGCGACATACTTGTATGTGTCGACAGTAATGCCTAAGTATTAGAACGCTGCACATACTCCTGTATATTTGCGCATCACATGTTCAGTCACCCATTATAACATACACATTCCTTCTTTCTGCATTGCAGTCTGGAGCAAAAGAAACTTCCTCATTTAATTTGCTTTATGCTCGTCGATGCATTGCCTTCGTCTTCCGTCCCTTTGTGCTTAGATAGTACTAATAAGTATACTGCCACAAAGCACACGCATACAATGACATGCTTCAACAATATACTTGTATGTATGTAACACAACATTTCCTTTGAATATGTCTTTTTCGCTGCCTTCTGAATGTCGCCGCGCTCTACTATGTCGTCGGTTTATTAGTTACCTATAAACTAGGTGTAATAATACCTCTAGTTGTGAAACATATACCCTGTGATATTAACGCGGGTGCTATTAGGGATGCGATTTAAAAAACACCTTCGAATAAAACAGAGGTATAATGCTCTTAGGCGTGGATACAAGTGGGCGATGACTTAGCCATAATCAATTTTTTAATCTTTGCCAGCTTCTTTAACACTTGCAGGGGCAGGGTATATGAAAACTTCTGTTCAATGGCTGTTACAGATTAATCATCACAATTAAAAAGTTGGTGAAGCCCGTAGGAAAGGTGCATGTGATTGAGCCAAATAACCATTATAATGTACTTATACAACAAACTTGACTAATGAATTTTACAGCTTAAACATTCAAAGCATAAAAAAAAAAATCTGAAAGAAGAAAGACCAGCTTTTAAGTATTTTTACATTAAACTTTAACAGCAATCTGAACAATTTAAAAATGTTCGGGACTCGTTGTCCGATTGCTGAAATCTCTCTGCGTTTCACTTTTTCAATGTTCAATATTTCGTTTAAAGAATCATCGTAAGGGACTACTTACTTGTCATGTAGAAGAACAGCGTCAGGAAGGCGATCATCTTGATGGGTAGCCTGTGAGCTAAATGCTCAGCTTTTAGTCACAACAAAACAAGCGGTATCCGCAGCAACGCCTAGATTTTTTCGGACAATTTGTATTTGTAAAAATGATTTTTCAGTGATGTTAAATATTCTATTCGTTTATATGCACAAACACTTTACTTCAAAAACGGCAAAAAATATGCAATCAAAATTCACTCACACACGTTTATAGATGCGGCTCTCTGGCCATAAGCGCCCAAATACATAATCTAATTCACGCGTCAAAATTTGAGTACGTCAAGTGCCACTCTTCGTGAACGAATCAAAAAAAAAAACAAAAAACAACCCGAACAATGACGAGAATCGCGCACAAAATCACTGACAAGCAAACGAGTGAGGGCCTATGTAAAACTGTTTATGTGCATGGATTTACATATGCAAAGTGACCGCGCCAAAAGCCGAAATTTATGTTTTTCAACGAGCGGTTTAGGCGCTCGAATGGTCTTTCTGTTAGCGGTTGCACAATTTTGCGATTTCCGCTCAACGAACGAGCCTTTTTCGTCGTAAATTACCGTTGTCTGCACTTTACTTTTATTGCATTTATTGGGCCGTTATACTTCACTTAGTTTCGCTTTTTTACACTTGTTGTCTTTTTCAGTTATTTCCGCGTTTACCAGCTTTATTTAGTTACCACCACTCAGCTTCCTGTATCCGGCTTTGCATTTGGCTGGCGCTACGGCGTATGCGTATTTGCATGCGTTCGCCGCCTGTATATACATATGGATTTGCTTTTCCACCAGCCGACCCGGTTGGTCGCGTAAAGCTCGGTGGGATAGTACGGAGTTACTAACGGTCAATATGTGGAACTGTTTGCCGACGCGCCACAATTCACAGGCAATTTTCACACATGACCCCGGAAACGCTCACTAATTCGACGCATCTCCGAAAGTGTGCTTGCCTCCAACAGACAACAACAACAACACTCGCTGTTATTTCTAATCAGCGCTTTCGTGCGTCTGCTTTTTGACTGCTGTTTTATTGTTGGCCACTTAGGCGGACAGCGAGCTGTAAGAACCGCTGCTTCGGATGCCGATGGCTTTCATTGACCAAAATTGATGTTGTTTCCAATTTTGTAACTTCAAATTGCGCAATAATCTGAATTATTTTATTATTTTCCAAATATTTCTTTAATAAAACAATTGCTTTTGCTGGTATATTTTATTTTATAAAACCCAAATGTGGGTCAACATTTTTAATGAGACCCAATTTTAATTCAGAATTTATTCATTTGAATTTTTCAACCGCTTATTGATTCAAAACCCGTTAGATTACTCCTTCTGAATCAATTTTTACCTCTAGTTAGGACTTAAAACGGCGAATTTTCCTTTATCAATTGGGCTTTTGGCTTTCGTTTCACTTTTCAGTAGACTGAGAGTTTGCATATCTCAGCTCTCTGTAAATTTGTGTGGTCTATTTTTACTTCACTCATTGCAATATTCATATAGTTTTGTGGTTTCTAGCTCAATCGAGCAATTTTTCTATCGCCGCGGTTATTGATCATAGTTGCCCAATTTGTTGTACACTCAGCGCTTTCCTGCTACATCGTCGAGGCTTTTCGTCTTTTATTCCCTTTTTTCGCTTTTGCTTTTGAATATGTTCATAGGAATTTGTTTTGCTCCAGTTTCCGCTCTGTTGCAAAATTTTAATTAAGGGCTTGTGTTAAAAATGACGCTTTATTATTTTGCTGTATTATGGAATTTTTGTATGTGTTGGAGTGCATAGACACGTGCAACACACTTTCACACATGCAAATAAAAAGCTCACCGTTTTTTACGGTACTTCGTAGAGAATTCTATTTTTTACTTTAAAGTCGTGGTGAATGCGGAATGCGAAGCGATTTTCAAACTTTTTGCTCTCGCAAATATTTGCGATATTTGTTTGAATTTTAATTTTTTAATATTTGCTCGCGCAAACAATTTCGCGTTGCCACATGACGTGCGCGTTAGCAATTTACAACGGGGGAATTATGATGCTTAATTACTTAACACCGAAGCGTTGATAGCCTTTTATTTCAATAATAATAGGCGCTAATGCCACTCGGCAGCGCTGTGCAGTTGACTACATAAATGCCTGCCGGCTGCTCCTTTTTCGGTCGAACTCGGTCGGTCGTGCGAATGCGAAAAAGTTCGACTGTTTGGCAACACTCAGCGGTACATAGTTGTTGGTTGGTGCTTTGTGGCGCCACAAACACACAAATACCCGCAATTCTCACGGCGGATTTTACAGTTGGCGCGCCTAGCAATCGTTGTCGTACTTTTGTTTGCTGCTCTTGTTTTACTCTGGTTCTGTTTGGCTTTTTTGCAGACGCTGAGTTCGGTCGGTCGTGTCAGCTATGCGTAAATTAACTGCCAGCAGTGCGCTACCACATTGCTGATTAAGCGTTGTTGCGTGGCAATTTTAGTTATTGCAGTTATTGTTGATGTTGCCAAAGCCTTTAAACCGCAGCAATTTTCGGATCGAACAGTGAATTGAATTTAATAAAAGCGCATTTGCATTATTTGGTAACTGTAAGCTGTGGCTTGGTTATGTAAGCACCCGAAGTCGAGCATAAATGTATGTTATTATATCACTCATACGCCGCGTGGGTCCTAACAAATGGCTTTGCTCCTTCTTATAGCCGCACTAGAAATGTCAATTTTCAATTAAATCATTACTTTTATGGTTTCACTTTCGTTTTTATTCAATTACCGTTTAATATCCCTTCGTTACGTATTCGTGTAATAGTGTTTATTTTTCTGGTGGTTAACCAGCACCAGCTGCCAGAATAGCTGTCACAGCACAATAAACAGAAAAATGACTGGTCATTTATAAACTTACAGTCATTTGTGTAACCGATTTTCATGCATCCCTTCACCCACTCAGCCACTTATCATTTTTCACATTTTTCTTTATTGGTCCTTTTGCACTATTTCATTTCTCCGCACTTATTTGATTGAATTGTCGCTTTGTGGCTATTGTAGTTTTGCCTTTTTCTGTTACTTCAATGGCCTTTGCGGTTAATATTATTGCTTACTTAGTTCCCTTCCACGGAAAGGTCAACAGAATGTTTGTGTGCAGGCGTCGGCGTCAGCGTCAGCGTCGGTTTTTGAGAAATCGTTCGATGGGCAGACCACAAAACACTGTAATTAAACAGAAACATATCGAATTTAGTTGAGCAGAGTAAAAGTGAGGGTAAAAAATAGTATATAAAATTCGTGCTAATCAGAATCTTTATAAACTTTAGTTTTAGAGTATCCAATAGATATTTGGCTTGCTTATTATTCATAAATGTCCCCAGTTTGAGTCATCAACTTGAGCTTTACGCTATTTTAACTTGAAATTCGCTATCTACTCACTTTAATACACATTCTACGCCACGTTCATAAGAAATGATGATAGTTAAAAGAGAGTCTTTCTGCAAGATTATACTAAATATCCATAAAGTGTGAAAAAATAAATAATTTAATTAAAGAAATGTAAAATACAATATCCTTTATGAAATTATATTTTTTTATTTGCTCATACATCTCGTTTGTCCATTGTATGGTGAAAGAACAGCTGTAAATATAAATATTAGCTCATAAATACTACTTAAGTCAAGGGCTACTAAACTTGTCTTATATCTTTACAATGCTGATTTGCTGGTTCGAACAATTGCCTTAACAATTTAATATCTTTAATGCGCTTAATTTCTACTTGATTGAGATCCTTGCATTTCAAGAGTATCAGAAATATCCGAAACAAAGTGTTCTTCCATTCGAACGGTAGGGGCTTGCTTTCGCGTCAGTTAAACTTCATAGCAAAAAACATGCAACCCTGCTTATACAGATATGTTGGCTTGTGTGTCTTTCTGTTTTGAAATATACTCTGGAGCATCGACCACTTGAGTTGCACATTGAATTTACGTTTTACATTTTCAATTTGTTACGCTCCATCACTTTCGGTTGTTAAACGTTCCCTTCAACGTCCTTCCATATTACAAACGTTTAGCTATTTCTACGTTTTATATTACACACAGATGCACAGTTAGCTACTGAAGGCTGACGATAGAAGGCGATACCCTTACCGAAGAAGAAACTTCCTATTTCTTTTCTGGTGTTCGCGCGAACAGCAAATGGTCAAAAAACTTTCAGCAACTCATTATTGGGGGAAATATAAACATACATACACACTTCCGTTTAATATATTCTCTCGCTGATGGCAATACTCGTTAAAATGCTGTCCATCAATTATATTTAGCTTTAATTAAGCTGAGCGTAACTGCTTAAAATAGAAAAATTGCTGCTTTAAACTTTCTATTCCTTTCATTTCCAATTCAAAATTAAGCATTTAGGCCTGCAGCTGTCTTTCGCAGTATGAGAACAACTCTTCATTATTATGCATATAACTCTATATCTATCTCGGTTGGTTTTGGTAGTAACAAGCGGCAGTCAGATAAACAAAACTACAACTACAATATCAAGAGTGTTTTACCTTTAGGTTACCGAAACATAGTTTGATTTTTCGTTCTAAATTATATCTTTGTTTTTGTATTATATTATATTATTTAATATTTCAATTAGTTTGACATTCCGATCGGGTTCAAGCATTCGTTCAATCACCGCCAATTAGTTTGTGGTTCGCGCCCGTCTAAAGCTACCAGAGGCATTTGCAGCCAGCCCTCATTTCTCGCAGTGCATCCGCAAGTATCTGTCAGGCAATTGCTAAAGGCTTGCCACTCGAAAGTGCATTGTCGCTAAGTTTACGAGAGTAGATGCGATGTTGCAAGGTTAATACTACCGTTATTGAAACCAATATAACCAATTTATGCATACAAGCACATGTCAAGTCTATGTCTGTGCAATTGTTGCTTTCATTTGCATACTCGGCCGTTTTTCTCCATGCTTGTTTTATCTCTGCTCGGCTCAATGAATTCAAAATGTCAATGATGAACTTTTCATTGACAGCGTCAAGCAGAAGCGTCGAGGCCGATTCAATAAGCGACGATGAGTTTTTCTATTTCTGATCCTTCCAATTGACATACCATATAATGGCGAGATTGATTTGCACTCGTGTGTATGCGTTGGAACTTGCGTTCAATAGGTTTGAGTGAAAGCTCATACATATGTTTATGTATATGAGTGAGGGTGTAGAGCTACATAAGTGGCTCAAGTGCACGGACGAATGGTTCACGAGTTCAATTAAATTTAAAGTAAAGACTTAATGATCAATGTTGGACTTATTAAAATTATATGTTTGAAATGTTTATTGAGAGAAAAACAGGATTTCCAATGAGAGCGTCGTTCAAAAGTTTACTGAAGTAGTTCTTAATGAAAGCAAATAAAATGACTGAGCTTTCTAATTATAAAAAATATTACAAAAATTAGTAATCCAAAAACCTAGAATCACGCAAATGTAAATACATTAAAGCCATTTTAAACATATCATAGGAAATCAGTGTAGGGGTTTTGTACCATTATATAATTAATATAAGGAAGTTTATGTCATACTTTTATCAAGTTGAAAAAGCACGTTTGGCAATCCTTTCTAATTTTAAATTATTAATTTATATTTATAGGTATAATTTATTATTAATTCACAAATTACTACATTCACTTCTCTAACTAACTTTCCAAGCATTGGTTTTAGACTCCTATGGAAGAAATAAAGTATTTTAAACTGATTTTGGCGATAAACCATATCCCAGTAGTATATGTACAGGTCTCTTCACATTTTAATCGGAAAATAAACAAACTCAAGCACTTAAGACATTTTCTTCGCAGCCATGCAAAAAGCATCCAATTACAAAACAATCGTTTAAAGGCATATCAACAAAAAGCTGACGGCGTCGAGCTAAGTGTGAAGAGCCAAACGCAAATGCAATTGTTTGTGTTAACATTGATTTTCACGCTTGGAAAACCCAGAACACCAAGTACATAGATGACAGGCCTTTTGTACGCCTGTCAGCAGTGATATGTTTGGAGCAAAAAAAAAAAATTAGAAAAGAAAAAGAACGTTCTCCTGCACAGGCGGCCCATGTTAAGCACCCTTGTAGCCCCCACTCACTAAGTGGATTTAGATCAAAGTGACGCCACAGCGAGAAGAGCAAAACAGCCGCAGTAAACACACATTACACCATAGATTTTGTTGTTGTTTTGGCGTTTTATTTAAGTAATATTTGCTGATAAATATTTATGTCAAAAAACTATTCTCAATTTGTGGCAATTTAAATGGTTACCTAAAATAAATAGAATTCCTCAATACTTGACGTTTTTGCTTTGAAATATTCTTTAATTAATAGGACTATTTTTCACCCTTTGGATTTGAAGTGCCAAGTGGATCTTCGATAAGTATCATATATAAGCAGACCCGGCTAAAAATGTGTAGGTCCAATTTAACAGCTACTTGGCAGTAGATAGCTCAAAACTTAGATTATCGCTGGTAATCGAAGAAGTAATTAGTTTACAAGCTTCAGCAAGGGATCGCTTGCTCCGAGTCGGCATGGAGACGATGATTTATTTCACTGAATGTTCCAGATAACCTTAGCAGCAAAATTCCTACAATGCTATATAAACTCAATTATTATAATATCAATTCATTCTCTTCACTATACTTATTTTAATACGAGTTTCTGAGAGGATGAGGTTCAACCTTCCTAGAAGCCATGGCTCTTAATATATAAGTAATATTGTGTATTAATTCCAATCAAGCGTCCATCACATAAAAGCTGCCTGTCAATAATATCTGATGTTATTTTGGTTAGAACTTTTTATGGGTTTTCTTATTAATACTTTACAACGCTCATTGTCTGCTCAGTAAAAATCACCTTCGCTTTTTACAGCATCCTCGATTATCTGTGCCTGCAAATGTTCGTCTTACAAGCCCCGGCCTCACGGTGCAAATGCCAAACAAGTGGCGTTCAGCGGAAGACACTGTTGACGCATTGTTGCTGGAATTGGTGGCGCTTCTATTGACAGCAACCACAAACCACAAATTTTTTCACGCGCTCATTGAAATTTCACGTAATTGCGTATTTAATGGCATTTTTCACTTTTTAAGCACGAGCCTATACTTCAGATTCTTCTGCTTCTTATTTTCGAATTTTCTTTAGTTTTTGCTTATCACCTGCACAAGCTTTTAGCAATCACCAACACTCGACCGCAAAAATATTTACTATACAAGTATATGTATGTATTGACGGGGGTTTTCATGCTTTGCACTTTCCTTTCGTCTAGTTATATTCGTTCTAGAGATTTTATCGTTTGGCTTGTACGTGCCTTGGTTAACAACAAATGCAAATTGGCGGTTGCGCGAGAACAGCAAGTAAGGAATTCGTGGCAATAGGAAGGTTCAATGAGCGATTCTTCCTTCGAACCTATGCCACTTTGCACAACGCAGCCACGTTCACCCGCACTGTCAGTCACACTGTCACATTCACTGTCACTGCGTCTGTCACTATCACGTGCGCGACGGTCGTTGCGCTTCCGCAATGCAATTGGTGTTTGACACGCAGCGCGCGGTTCACAAGTCTACACTACTCACAACACTACTCTGGCGCCATGGTTTATAGCAACACACTCGTTAAATGCCGTTGCAAGTAGTTCGATTCCATTCAAATCAATACGATACGCGCCTCAATCGGTGCGTCGCGCACATCAGGTGTCACAAACGGAGCTGTTGGAGCGTTAGTCGACTCAATTGCTTGTGTTCTCAGTCGCTGTTGCACTGATACTGATTGCGACGCGCTGGTTTTCCGATATGCTACCAGCCTGTTGGTGTATGTGCGTCCGCCACTGTTGGCTGTGAGCCTTGTACTTGTCGCTTTGACATACAGCACCGACGATTTTAGCGCTAAGCAGCGCCTCATGTAACACGACAAGGAAATTTGCGAAGAGACAGAATAGTTTGTACGCCGAGAGCACAAAAAGCGGTGACTACTGAGTTTTTAGCATATGTTCGCTCTGTTGACTTTTAGAGGCACACGACGGCAGTCGACTCGCTGTGTCGAACATAGCCGAACACAGATGGCGGGTGATGAAGCTGTGCTCACCTAGAGCCGTCGATGGAAGCATTATTCCTCTCCTGTCAATAGTTATAAGTCTAGATTTATATTAGATGGCTAGATTGTTGTCACGCTGAAGTAAATAAGCTAACTTTTAATTCAATACTAACAACATTAAATATTAATTGAAATATAAATCACGAAAAATTAGGTCAATAAAATACAGTAAGTACTGCCTAATGAAGTAAGTAGTTTCCTGATTAGTGTTACTTAATTCTGAATGAAAAAAGATATGTTGGCTTTTAAGGAAGTGTTTCAGTTAATACACAATATCTAAAAACTGTAGCTATTCTACGAAGGTAAGTTATGTCAAATAGTAATATATAGCCATCTAACAGTATAATCCAGCTGAGCGTTATAAAACCTAGAATAACTTATTATTTATTTATAAAGACACCATAACTCAATTGTTATAAAATACATTATCTCATTAGCCATACAAAATGCAGATTTAAAAATTTTAAATATTTTCTGTAACGATAATAATGGAGAAGCGTATTAAATTTTGAATATTCAAAAATAGATGTTTATTGTTATTGCATATGTTGTTTCAATGCTAAGAGTACTTAGAGAGCGCATGCTCAGTTGTCGAAACACATTGTTCTCTTATCGGTAGAAAACGAGAAATGAAGGCGAAGAGAAATTCTGCGGCGATTTCACAAAATAGTAAATTTGTCCCACATTCGAGGTGCCAAATTTAACGGTTCCGAATTAGTTTTGCTGGTGTTATTCTTTCCTTATGCATTGTCGCCTTTGTTTTATTGCATTTATGTACTTCCATAATTACCATGTAAGTGTACGTTTGTAGACGCGTCTCCGGTGAGATATTGTGACAGAATAGAAACAACAAAAGTCTTACCGCCAAATTAAATAATAAGTTGAAACAAGTCGACACGGAGTGTATAATTTGCCGTTATATGAAAAAAAAATCCACCTTTGCTGCTTACTATTAAATACACATTTCATGTTTGAATTTAATTAATGCTTTTTTCATTTAATTTCAGAAGTCACAAAGTATTAACATCTGCCTAGTCTGCATCAATAACCCACTTAGTCATATAGCTAATATGAAATTAACATGAAGAGAGTACTTCAAATATAAGTATGCAAATTGCAATAATGAGTAAAAGTGGAAAGCTCTAAACTTAACTTGAACTTGTTACTAAATTTTATGATTGAGCAAATAGTTTGGTAGAAAAGGATATTGAGAGAGGGGATATCCTCGAATTTTATGTTAGTTTCCCACTAAAGAATAAAAGTTCATCCCATACTCTCCTCGACTTCATCTAACGAAGATCAGTTAATCAATATTTGACGATTAGAGTGATTGCTCCAACTGACAAGTGCTTATATAGTATTTAAGATTTTCTAAATCAATTTGGAAATTTTTAAATATTGTGTATACACAATAAAGGTCTACAGCTTAAAATATACTGAAATTGTCCTTGAAATTAAGCCGCGAGGTAACCATGAAAAATAGATACCACAATAAAGGGCTCCTCTATAGCATAAAAGCAAACAAAATAAAACTTGTTGCTTGCGGCCGAAAACAGATAACAAAGAAGACATGAAATTTCAATATCGAATAGCGCAGCCAAAGTCAAACGAAATAATGGAGCGAATGTGCTTATAAAATTATTAAAGAAAAAATTGGCGTAAAGAAATAAGGATACAAATTATGGGATATAAAACGCCAACGGCTGCATGAAACAATAATAAAGTTTTGCATTAAAAGCAACTGTATGCTAACGAGAGATAACGGTATCAAATTTCTTTACACTAGTATAGGCTACGAGACAACATACATACGAGTATGTAAGTATATACAAGTATATATGAACATATCTTTGCTCTACTAGTTTTAGCATGTTTCGTCAGTCATTAGACTTTTTTTATACTAATTACTGTAAAGTATTGTTTTTCATCGAAAATTCGGCAGTGGAGGTCAGCCTTATGGACAACCAAGCCAACCACAAGTTGATATTATATATTCAGCACAATGATTTAAGCTAAACAGTTAACAGATTTAGTTTTTTAGGTAGAAACTTTAACATATTTCTTGAAATATTTACTGCGCATATATAATTAAATTATATTTGTTTAAGGAGCTAATGTTCCTTTGGCTATGTCATATCGAAAATACATGAGTTGTAAACTTTCTCTCTCGGTGATCCATAAATATTCGAAAACTGACACCAAAGTGAAATAAGTACCGAAGTATAACAGCATTCAATAGAGAAACGTTGTCTTCTGTAAAGATTCATCAAACCTTCTTATATGTGGGTGCTTAACCTTCAAATCGGTTTTCTTTTCAAAATACATATAGAATTAAATATAAATAAATGAATGCGTCACATTTGAATATATAATTTAGTTGCGCATTTACCATAATTGGGAAGTTGGAGGTTTCCTTGTTGTTCAGTAATTGAGTTAATCCACAGGGAATTTATAAATTACCCTTAACAATTTGAAACTAGAATAATTAATTATGAAATGACTTGTAATGTTCGAACTAGCATATTACATAACATAATATACGATATTTATCAGAACGGGTGTAAAAAGCTGAGAAAAGGAGAATATTGAACAGGTATATTATTTGACAATTCATCAATCGTGAAATGTGGGCTTAAAACTTGTTGGCCTACCCACTGGGGAGTACAGATAACATCAACCATATCTTATAAATGGGTCATAGATATTGGTGGGATTTTATATTTATAACGTTCGGAATGGATTTCCTGGGGGAAAAGCTAATTTTACTTCGGGCATAATTTGGTCTCACGGTCATTTATCCAGACTTGAATACTTTTTGCCATAATACTTTTTCACATTATGTTTTAACGTGAAAATATATAAATTAAATGTCTCATTCTTATGCAGGCGGTCTGATTTAATAAACCTACTATTACAATACATTATATTAAATTAAAAAAAAAATTCGATACAAATTTCAAAGGTGGATAGTTCTAATAAGCTATTAGTTTTCCTTAATGCCATAATATCTAATTTTTCACAGTGACAAGCAGTATTTTTTTCGCTCATATTTAATACTCGTTTATCCACACAACAGTTCCTAATCCATTTCCAAACACTTCACATATTAATTTGTTTCCATTTTCATTTTTTAAGCCCAACGCAAAGATACTGCTAAGTCCAACATTATTTTTGAATTTGAGGAGTAAACCATCAAAGGTTTTTATAACAAATTTATATGGACTAAACGTTAGCATATGTTTACAGTATAAGGAAGCAATGAAATAATTCGCTAAGGAAAATGCCAATAATTAATATTATTTTGTAAAAGTTTTTCGCATCTCCAGTTTTCTGAATTTGTTACACAATTTCGCTTTAGTGAGAAACTCTTGCATCACTTATGTAGCCATGAAATGTGCGTTGGGTATAAAGGAATTTAGTTTTTTGGGCAACGACATGTGCTGCCAGTTAGTGCTGCGTTAAATAGCCAGTTTTTTGGGACAGTGAAAGTAATCTACACGTACGTCCGCGGGGAGGGCAGAGTGAGGGAGTGCGCTCGCGCCAAAGAGCGTTATTTATAAATATCCATTCAAGTGGAGGATGTGTGTGTCGCAACCATAAAATTTGTTTTTCGCTGTGGTGCTGTACGTTCATAATAACTGTACATAAGCACATCCATAGGTACATATGTCGCTGTGTGCACCAATTTGGTGTGTTTTGTTTAATTCCATGGTTGTTTTTGTGTCGGGTTTAGTGATTTATTTCCGTTTTGCCAAATGTGACTTTCATTAAAAATCCAGTCGTCATATGGTGGTCTAAGCGCTTGGAATGCCAGGAATGTGATATTTGTGCTGCAGCTTACAAGCGTGCGAACATATGCAAGCGCAGGCGGCTCGTGGTGGTACGTGTCGCCGAAAACATAAACCTTGAAAAACGTACGCAATGAATTAAAGGACAAACGAATTACAAACGCGTGAAAATTATGACGATGCTGCAAAGACTGGCGCAAAGTGCCACACTCGCTTACACAGCGGGGTTGTGAAGAAACATATCTAAGAATATTTAGTATTTGTTTATTTAAATATTTCGAAGCGAAATTCTTACAACGATTCTTTGAAATATTGACCAAAGTCATAGTTACACTGAAAAATTACCCAACTCTGACAGTAAAATCCTAGCAACATTAAGCCTTCATCCAGCAAATTTATTAAATTTTTATTTATTTGAGTTAAAGAATTAACTTTTTCAAATTTTATGATTTCCTTCCTCAATCAATTCACTATATACACACATACACCGCCAAGATAATATTTACAAATTTTATGGAGACTATCGCCAGTTGGTGGCACTTGAATTTCAGAAATAGAATTTTTGTTTAAGTGTTTCTTTGTGAAGCTGCTATTTCTGTATGACTCAAATAAAAGCAATTAGAACCTAGTAGAAACACATTACCCAGTATCCAAACTTGTCATCGGCCAACAGACCCATCCTAGTGCCGAGCTGTCTGTGCCAAAGCCGATCAGAAAATTTTTCTTCGGAAGTGGGTTAAAGTCAGCACGATCAATGAACTTATGATGTCATAAAAAGCTTTAGGGTGCAACATCTCCTTAAAAATAAATATGCTGGACTCTGGATTATCTGGATTTCTTTCTGGCAAATTTGGGTGCTGTGAGTGATGAACAAGGCGAGAGGTTCCATCAGTACATTACCACGGAATGCTAGCAGATTATTGCTGAAGGCTTAAAAAAGATCTTCAAGAAGCCAAGTATTCACGAAAATCATAAGTATTTTTTCTATATTAAGTACTTTTTAAGAAAATATATGTTTTGATGTCACAAGAAAACCTGACGTGTCATTTATT